CCTACATCCTGCAGAAAAAGTTGTTTTCTCTCACCCACTGTGGTTTCACTGCTCTGAACTTTCTTTCCTGGTGGGGATCTGCCCCCATCCCAGGGTCAGGTTTACTCGCCAGTCAACTTGAGTCCCTCTTGTTCTTCAGGGGACTGAATTCAATCTTCCATTCTCCAGGAGAGTGTTCCAAACACAGGACAGTCCCCTTTCTGTCTGTTAAAACTATTCCATTTCTGCATTAATAAAAATTACCTGCCAGATAACTTTCCTTTTGCCAGAAAGATTTTATCTGAGACAGAGAGTGAGAAATCTATTTTGGGCAGTATGCCAACAGGGGTCAGTGCACAGCTCCTTTAATATTGCCTAGACTAAACTGGGAAGCAGATAATTAAAGATGTGTCACACCACCTTCTCGCGATGTGATTACAGGTCACAAAGATGTGCAATGAGTAACTTTAATTCTGCTGAACTGCTTGCTAACAAACTACACCTGGCCATCTAACTCTGAGTAAACTCTAAGCATTAACTGCAACAACCCAGATTTTAGTTACTAACTTACTACAACTGTTGTAACTGAGAATTTCTGACATAACCAGGCTTAGGGAATCGGTGTATTCAACATGGCTGTTTCACTGCCCTCACTGGTCACTTTAGGCTTTTATTACTTTTGTGGATCTGTCCCTCTAAGTCAGGTGTTAGCCTGGACATTCACACTAGGGTCTGAAGTTTTGCTTTGATTCTGGGAGTTTTCATATAATTTCCTAGGGAACTTGTGATGGATTTCTGAACTCCTAATCTGGGGTGACCAAATTTATGCGTGGGATGGAGGGAAACAATACTGGAGCAGATAAGCACCTCCATTTCCTTTTGAATCATGTACAAAACAGAGATTAAGTAAAATTCAAGGCTCAAAGCGATTCCAGAGAGAGGGGTTTATGTCACTGTGAAATGTAAAAATTAAATAAATAAATAAATAATGCTTATTTACGATCCTTAGATAGAAGAAATAAATGAACAAATAAGGCGAGAGAAAGAAGAGGCAGAAGCTCGTATGCGCCAAGCAACAAAGAGCTCAGAAAAGTCAACCACTGGTGGTGGAGGGGGAAGCAAAAACTGGCCAGAAGATGACTTACAGTTGTTAATTAAAGCTGTGAACCTCTTTCCAGCAGGGACTAACTCAAGGTACTCCTCGGGATCGGTGCTAAAATCTCTACTAACAATTTTTAATTAAATAACAAGCATAATACAACTTACTTTCAGACCAACCTAAGTACGGTGTCAGTATGAGGACTGCCTAAATTTCCTACTTTTCCTTGACTCTTGAGCAGCCACTGGTTTGTTTTCCCTCAGTACCACGCTTCACGTGTCACTGGAGTTGGCTCTGACTCTGTACCTTGTTTCCCCTAGACTGGGGCCTCAGTCCATTACCAGCATGGTGCTGAGGTGCATGTTTGCACAGGGCTTACTCTAGGGTTGGCTTGAGTCATTAAAGCAGAGAACAAAACTGGAGCAGTGATGGGGATGCAGCTGGGTAGGAATACAAGTGTGCAAGGTACTTCCACAACGACTATGAGGCTGCTTTCACCTCTACATGGTAGGAGGAAAACAAAGCTGGGGGAAAGGGGAAGGTTGGGATTTACAGAAAGCAGCACTGGCAATCAGCTTACTGATGAGCATCAAGGAGTATGCTTTAAATTCTGCTCTTGCCCAGGAATGAAATGTCGTCTTCTACTTGGGATTCACAGATTTGAGGCCTCAATTACAAGACACTGAGGCTTACTTTAAAAAAAAAAAAATAAAAGCTGCCATACTCTCTAGAGATGATACCATTGCCTGTGCAGCTCATCAGTCAGTGCTCAGAGAACACAGGCCTAGACACCATCCTCCTGTCTGTTCAGGTGCAAATATTGCTTTCCATTTTCTAAGAATGCACTAGGAATAGTTCTGGGGCTATGGGGCTGTTCTAGCTCTCTCCTGCTTACCCTTTACCTGATGTTTAGGCCTTCTGGGGGGCAGTGGACACAGGGCTGGTAACTTCTCAGCCCTTGAGTGCACCCTGCAGTATTTAATGTCAGAGGTGTCCGGGGAGTTCAGGAAAGCAGCAGCTGAGCAGAATTTTGAGGATTAGAGGTTTGCACTCACCTACATTCTACCCCATCCATTTTCTGTATCGGCAGCACTCCCACTGACTGAATTCTTCAGTTAGTAACTGAAACCTTTCCAGAATAGTTTACCTGACATTTTATATGCATTTAAGTATGATTATACTTACTTAGGATTTGATATAAAATGTGTGCAGGAGCTTGACCATCACTTGTATGAAGATAAATATGCTGGTTTACCTTTTCTATTCTTGCTTTAGGTGGGAAGTTATTGCCAATTACATGAACTTGCACTCTACTACTGGAATAAAACGAACAGCAAAAGATGTCATCAATAAAGCCAAGAGCCTTCAAAAGCTTGGTATATATTACCTTATTTTTGCAATAAGATGTTCTGTATGCTTCTGCACAGCTGCATTTTTTTTTTTTAATGTCTTTGTGTTTCTGAGAAAATCTTCTGTATATCCCCAAAGAAATGTAGTTCAGATGGAAGACTTAGAGGAGCATTTATGTGATTCAGTGTTTTCAACTTAATGGGTTTTGTGTAAGCTACCACCTCCTGAGTGACTCTGAGGAACAGTCTCACTGCAGCTGGATGCTCAGATGTCTGTAGGCCACATGCATTGCCTGGGCTCAGCTAGAGACAAGTGGGCCTCTGGAAAAGCTCCCTACAAAGGCAGGCATCTAAAATAAATGGAATTGATGAAGCTCTAGAGATACTTAAAAAACACCAGAGTAAGACACCTAAATTAACTTGGCTCATCTCCTCTTTGAAAATGAATAATAATAAAATGATACATGAAGCTTAGAGAGCTCTAGAATAAGGTCTTAAGGAAATTACATATTTCACAACAGAACACAAAAAAAAATTGCACAAAGTTGTCAAGAGGCTTCTCCATTCCAAACCATCTGCCTGAACTTCCCCAGTGTTCCTGCCCCTCTGACATGCTCGTACCCTGGGTAATATGTGAGTTTTGTGCCACAGCCCTGACTTGAGAGAATAATTCTGCTGGATTTCTCTGAAGTTGCAGATTCAGGCTTAAGATTATATGGAACAAGTATTTCTCTGAGCAGTATAAAGCAGGATAGGGGTTGGAGAGCCTGACACTTTGAGCAAAGTTTATTGGACCCTGAAAGATTTTTTATTTTAATCTACTAACCTCTTTACCATCATTTTAAAGGAAGTAGGAATAGTTCTAATTATGTGATTATTGTAAACTAATAATCTGCTACGTGATGTTTTTAGCATTACATGGGGCTTTGACTGTTGCAATAATTTTTCTCTTCCATGTCTGTTGCTCATAGACCCTCATCAAAAAGATGACATAAACAAGAAGGCATTTGACAAATTTAAAAAAGAACACGGTGTGGTGCCTCAGATGGACAGTGCTGCCCCCTCGGAGCGATTTGAAGGTAAAGCTGAAAAGGGAGCTCTTCTTGCAGACTTGTCTCCCCTGTGCCTCTTAGAAAGAAAGTAACCCAGACTCAAGACTTGCTTACAAACGCAGTAAGTGATCCAGGCTCTGTTGCCAGATTTCAGGGTTTCTGGTACACACAATACACCCCACAGTGACCTACACAGTGACAGTGAAATGTTTCCTGGTGAGGCAACAGGTTAAGTCCGGTGCTGAGATCATCACTTTCAGGGAACAGCAAGCCTGAGGGGATGCACTGAGATACAGGATCGTCATACAGCTAACTTTTGGTCTCCTGTGAAACCCCAAATGTCCCATCAAGTTTTCCAGACACTTGCAGAAGGCTGTTTCCTTACTGAGTGTTCCTTACTGAAATGCAAAAGGAAAAGCTACATTGCTGCCCTAGTGCTGTGGCTTAGGAGGGCAGCTACAGCAATCTAACACCCGGCTGACAACAAAAGACGCTCCCTCCTAACTTCCCTGTGCTTTATCTTAAGATCCTGAGGGCCACTTGTCCAATCAGCTTCGGGCTTGGTTGTTTCTTTGGGGCTTTTCAAAACTGCATGGATTTTAAACCAACTAAATAGATTTTACAATACTTTCGTAGACTTATAGACTCTTTTATTAAATATATTTTTCCTACTATCCTTTTTGCATCTAAAAACAGGATCACCTTTAGATTCATCCCCTTGGACTACAGAAGAACAAAAACTTTTAGAACAAGCATTGAAGACTTATCCAGTAAATACTCCTGAAAGATGGGAGAAAATAGCAGCAGCTGTTCCAGGCCGGACAAAAAAAGACTGCATTAAGCGATACAAGGTAAGGGACCTCACCTCTCGTGAGACTGCCATCAGCCCAGGTCTCGATAGAATCCTTTGCTTTTACTGTTGCACTGCCTACCAGAGATTGCATCTGACAGCAGCAAACTGATGGAACCTTATGGAGAAACTTTTTTTTATTTTTGGTAACTCAACCCCTAAAGAGCTTTAAGGACTAAATGTTCCTCGGTGAAAGTAGTGGCTCTGGAATCTGGGAAGGAAAGTCTGTCTCAGGAAATCTGTCTTACAATTTGACACCAAGCTCTTGTAGACAGCAAAGTCCTATCCCGATTCTGCTACAGAGGAGGTAGATGAGCATTGACCTTCCATCAGTTGATTTATTCCTAAGAGAAATTGCTTCATTAAACTATGTAGATTTCTCACTATGTTGAGAGCTAGAGTGTTTCACAGTGAATATATGTAGGGTTCAAAACTGTAGCAGTGTTACCACGTTCAATGTTTAATTAAAATGTTTGGTGTGGTTTTTTTTCCCACAACTCTCCAGGAACTCGTTGAAATGGTCAAGGCAAAGAAAGCTGCTCAAGAACAAGTGATGAATGCTACTAAAGTCAAGAAATGACTCTTACTGACAATCTTTGTTTTGTAATAAAAATGCAAATACTGTACGTGTTTCCATTCCTTTTTTCAGTATACAGACACAGAGGAGTGGCTGGTTCTTGAGATTTAATCTTCTCAAATACAACTCAAAAGCTTTAAACGGGTGTAGTTGCTTGGTGGGGGGGGAGGGGGTTGTTGTTGTTGTGGGATTTTTTATTGGTTTTCTGGTTTGTTGTTTTTTTTTTTATAGCTCAAATATACTGAAAGTTCTTGTTATTCACTACTCACGGCGCCAATACATGCCACTGCAGATTTTGCTATACTCTGGAAGTTGTTCAATTGGACCTGGAAGTTAAAGAAAGTTGGCCATGACACATGTTCAGCTGATAGTGATTGGTCTGGAGGGGTTCTGGGAAGGTAGGGAAACTTGAATCACATACCGACAGCAGCAACTGCAGGATGCTTATCATAGATGTACTTTGTGCAGATATCTCTAATAGTCTGGGCATCAATAGCCTAAAAGGGGTAAAAGAGACGTCTTTGTTACCATCCCATCCCATCTAAAACTGTGACCTTAATTTTGTATAATCCAGGGGAACAGGCAACAAAACACTTCAAAGTTTTCTCAGCTGGAAACAAACATTTTGTCACCCAGGAACAGTCCAACTTCTATATTGTTACTTTCTGTAGCAAATAATTTTGTCAATGCCTAATGTAAAAGTTTCAACATGACTGCCACTTACATCAATTCTTGCCTCAAGTTCGGGAATTGGGATTCGGCGCTTATAACACAGCATTTGTCTTCCAATGTCTTCACAGATTGGTGTAGACCCTAAAATAAGCAAAAGTATGCTTCAGTTACCAGCCTACAACTCCACAAAGAATAGAAAGCTCTCATAAGTCTCACCATCAAGTTGTAGCAGCATATTTGTCTTCAGAAGATTTTTTGCTCGAGCTACTTCGTTCTCTGTAACACTTGTGCAAAGTCTCATCCTGAAAAACAGTTGAAATCCAAAGGCATTAAGTAATAGCAACCTGTAGCACACAAGATTGCCTGCAATGAAGAGGTGCACAGACACTCCTGCACCTACCAGGCGCTTCTCCTCTATAGACAGAGCTGGTAGGAGAGTTTGGCATTGATACAAGGCACAGGATGCAAAGAGGCAGCATAAGAGTAGGGTTTTGGGAAGCATGCCAATATACCCAAAAGCGAGTTTTTCCCCTTAGAAGAGCTGTGTTTTGTTTTATTAAATGTATATTTTGAGCCAAGTGTACTTGTTATGTTGAGAATGGGTGTTGCTAAGAAAACAAGAGCCAAGCAATCAGAGGTAATTAGCTAGAAGGCAATCCATCACTTCCCAGCTCTTCTATTTTCCACTCTGTATAAGGAACATTTCATGAGGACAGGGGGGTGCATCAAATATCTCAACAATTGATTCTTGTCCCAAAACTATTGGTATCTTCTTTGGTGCTAAGCTGCAGTAAAAGGACAGCTAAAGTCGTGCCTTTTTTCTCCATGAGTTATTAAGAGAGATCTCACAGAATAATGGTAGGGATTTATGTGATTAAAGAAACTCTGTATTTTCAAGATTTTTTTCAACTTCAACTTTGTTTCAACTTCATCCACTTCAAATCAGTGCTCTTCTATAACATATGTCTGTTTCTAATCACATCTGCAGTTCAAGCTTTACAGTTGCACCCAGGGACATACTTCAATAGATTTAAGCCTCAGATGCATGAATATTATCTAGAATCCCAGGTTTCAAAATTCCATATGTAACAGCTCAAAATCCCCCACCATATGTACTTGTACAAGGAATGCTGTTATATCAACTACAGCGCCTGGTCATTCTTCCAGGGCAGAGAAAGAAAACAAAACCTAAATCTTAAGCTATTCACTCCAGGTAAGGGTGCCACAAACTGGCTGCTGGGACTCTGCATTGGGTGCCAAAGTTTAGAATTTGATGCATTTGTGTTTTTCCAGATGAGCCTAAGCAGAGAAACAAAAATACTCTCTTTAAATTGTTTATATCTTTTTAATTTGCATTCCATCACTGAAAACAATCTTTTTAGAGAAACAGTTGTTAGCTTACCATTCTTTCTGAACAAAGTGCACCATGTCCTGAATAGTAGATGGCTCACAGACCATATAGAGTCCCCACAGGCCTGTGTCAGTATAGCAGGTGTTGAAGGACTGGAAACTGTGACACAGGTTACCATGGCAGGCAATCTGAGCAAGTTTACTGGATAAATTCTGCTGAGGCAAAAGAAAACGATACTGTTTTATGAAGCATTTTGGAAGCTTCCTATTCATCTCCCTGATTGATTTCCTGCTTTCATTTAATGGTGACAGAACATGCAGTACTATCACAGCCCAGATTTAAGCCAAAATCATAAAGCTGCTTAGGTTCAAGAAAGGGACAGTTACTGATACCCATGGGTTCTGATGACATGCAGGTATAAAAGAACATCCTGCTTTCGATGAAGACTGGCAAGACCTCAAGTCACCTCTACTTTGGTGGTTTAGAACCACTTCCTAAGAGTATCCTGGGGTAACAAATTCTCTCAGATGCACAACTGAACCCTCTCATCTGCGCTGGCAGTACCCAAGTCAGGGAGGTCTCGTCATTCAGAGCAGGAAGGTGTTTGCAGGTTCACTCACCACGCCTCCTCCGAAGGAACGATCCCAGTTACCTATCAGAGTATTGGCCACCATGAGTGGGATTGTATCCGGGTCTGACCAGCCAGCTGCTTCCACGGCTATGGCCAGGTGCGCCAGGGGCATCTTGTCATCCCGGATTCGAATCTGTGGAACAGAAGAGAGCAGCTGTAGTCCAACCTGTACACAGTCAGGTACATGGGAAGTTGAATATCAGAAGACAGACTTTTCCATTAGACTGGATTATAAAGCGTGCAAAGAGTCAAAGCACATGAAGCTTAATTTAACATCAGCCTTAACTAGTCTTCCCTGAGGCGATTTCAGAGGATTTTGCCAACATACACAGAGAGAGCATTACAAGTCATTTTACGACTACCAGCAGTGAGGAAATCTGATGACTTTACAAAATCTGAATAGGGATGAGACTAGAACAAGGATGCCTTGGTTCTCTCACACATCATTTAAATGAGTGGTTCTCAACAAGTGGAAATGTTCCAACACCATGGTCAAGGGGATAAAAAGAAAGCAGCAGCAGGTATAAGGGACGTAATCCTCCAGGAAGTGATGAAGCATAAAAAGTGGTGGCAATGAGGCTTATCCAAGAAAGGACCCAAAGTACTGCTTTGGAAAGCAGCTACTCCATCGCCTTCACTGGGGGCAAGAAACCCCTTCATGTGCCAAGTCTGTGTCAGAGCAGCCCTCTCTCTTCAGCAGAGAGCAGTTGTCAGGGGATGTAAGGGCCAGCTCACAGAGCCACCCAACAGCTTACCTCACTACCTGTGAAGCTACAAGGTGGCAGGGGTGGCAGTCCTCCTTCTGGAGCAGATGGCAAGTTACCAAAATGGCACTTCGCTAGGTCAAGCAGTTCATCATGACACACCCCTGAACAAAGGTATTTCAGATGCTTCGTGATGTTACTCTGTAAACAGTTCACTTAAATTGTTGCACACTCTAAAGACTCAACCAAGCAGTAATTCATTGTGCCCCCACTTCAAAACCTCACTTTTGGATTCCTCCCACCTCCCTGTTACACAGAGCAAGATCATGATTGCCCATCCTGAGTTCTCTCTAACAGCCTTCCATTGAAACTACGCCAAATCAAGCTGTTTGCTCTCAGTTTCAAGCCTTAATGTTATTACTTTGTCTCTGCATTCCTTGCTACTCCCCTTTTCACACTGAACCCCTTTTAGGATCCTCCTTTCCTTCCCACATGGAAGAATGACTTTGGCCTCCAATTCACTTCTTGTTACCAATTTAAGGTTTCTGGAATATTACTGGGAGGAAAAGGGAACAAAAGCTCAAAGGGTGTGAAGGCACAAAACACACAGGGCTAACAATGAACTTCCAGGACCTACTGAACAATGGGTAATTCATCATGTTGTTCCCAGAGACTTAGGCCATGGTCTCAAGCACAGTTTCACATAATCCAGGGTGAATATCCCATACTAACCTCCAGCAGCAGCCAGGACCATTCTGGGTCCTTTGTAATGTGTTGTTATGTACTCCACCAAGTCATTACGATTTATGGATCTAGAAACAGGAATGGAGACATCATTACTGTGTCAGTAAAACCAACTAAAGCAAAAAGAGGTAAACGTATAAACCAACAAAATACCATAATAACTAAATGTTCTGCCAGTACACAGAACAGGGAGGCAGAAAGCTAAAATAAGGGTGACTTCCTAAAACGGAAATAGGAACTCGATACATTTTGCCTTTTAAAGCCCTTCCAGCTTCCTGAGAAGAGTGAGAATTACAGCTCAGTCAGGTGGAGACCAGGTGCACTAATGATCTCCTGTTCCTTTGAAAGCAGCACATTTGGCAGTCTCCTGGTCTGCACTGGTCTAAACAAATGCTGAAACAGCAGTGCAAACACAGTTGTGCTGACAGTACTGCCTAACATGTGATCAACTGGAAAAAGAAGCCTTTCCAATTTTGTGTCAAATGCACTTTTAACAAACGGGAGAAAAATATGGCAAAAAACAATGACATGCAGAGGACACCTGTAGTTCACATACCCTTTGATGCCTGCATACAGGGGAACTAAAATAATAGGGGGATTCTTCTTACTGTTATATCCAGTGCAGAGAACAATCTCAGCTGTAAAAATGAAAACCAATGCTGTTCCCTATGTTTTCAGATTAGTCTTTTCAATATATAAAAGTTATCACACAATTAAAGACAGACACAAATTTGGACATACTTGATGTTTTCAGTGGGACCTAAAATTGTCCGTCCTAGGGCTGTTTTCTGATAGGCTGTGGCATGAAGGTAATCAAAGACAACTTCCTGCAAATTGGTTTCAACCTCTTGCATCTCCCGAAGGATAACTCCCCGCTCACGCTCAATCTCTGCTTCTCCCAGGGTGCTGTTCTGAATTATGTCAGCAAGGATTTCCACAGCTAAGTGAAAATAGAGATGGAGATGGAAATGCAATGAGTATTTTCAGACTGCCAGAAAAATCCAGTTCCAAAAGTGAAGCCCACCCCAAAGACCAAGTGCTAACAAAACTTGCAAAGGGACGAAAGACTTGCAGGACAGGAGAAGTCCAAAAGGTATCTTATTTTGGGACTCTGAAGAGAAAAATATTTTCAAATATCAGCTTCACTGCTGGCTGCTTTCCAAACCTGCATTCTCACATTCCTGTGAAGTTCAAGAGAGGACTTTTCACCCAGGAAGGAAGGGACTGTAACACTGCAAAAGCAACATCCTGTGTCATCTCCTTGGAAGCTGGACAAACACTTTGTTCTTTGCTGATTTTCCAACGAATGAGAGCAATTACCTCTTGGTAAGTCTTTTGAAAAAGCCTTGGCATAATACACAGTTTGTTCCCTGGATGTATACGCATTCAGATGAGCTCCCATGTTCTCAATCTCTAGCTCAAGGTCTAACTGAGACCTCTTTTTTGTTCCCTGAAATAGAACAGTAAGAAAATCACATTAGACCCTTCAGTTCACCTACCCATCATTACTGCTTCATGTCAAGGTCAAGATCAAGAAAAAGAAAAAGTCTTCTGGAAATAAACTGGCATACTAACGTCTCCAAACTTGAAAATCAGATATAAATCCTACTATGCTCCCAAATGAAAATAAAAAGCCAACAAACGAGTGACTGGGTGTCTTCTAAGACTATTTATTTCAAGACGGTAGAAGTGAGTTAAAACTAGAACTGTGTAATCTGTAGTTGTGTATCAGCTACACAGAAACAGGACTTCGTTTTCTAAAGGAAACCAAGGTCTTAGTTGTCCATATTTTTTTTTCTCATTTCAATTTGGAAAATTTATTTATACAATTCTGCCAAAGTTCTTATCACTGATCTTTAAAGATAAATAACTTAGAAATCTATTGTAAACTTCTACATCAATATTCATATTTACCTTGAAAGCCATATGCTCAAGGAAGTGAGCAGTCCCATTGTTCTTCTCATTTTCATACCTGCTTCCAGCATCAATCCAAAGTCCAACCTCAACAGAGAAAAAAAAAGTTATTTTACCAGCTAAAAGCTTTTCTGTTTTGCTCTGTGATCTACATTTAGATTTTCAAGATTTTTAAATGGCTTTTTCCTTAAACAGAGCAAGTTTTCAAGAAAAGGATAATTTCCATCTTCACAAAAAAATCTAATCACAAATGAACAAAAACCTTAAGGCCTCTATTCCCTATCTTAGGTTTTAGGATGAACTGAATGTAAATGCAATTTAGTTCCACAAGGAAACGAACACACGTGAAGAGTACAAAAAAATCTTCCCTTTACAAGTTACTTACTGTGCATGTTGAGAGTCCAGAGTCTTCAGAAGCTACTTGCAAGCCATTTTCCAACGGACTCACCCTGGTCTCAGGAACATTTAAGATTACTTCCGTGGCTGCTTTGGAAGCTCTGAGCCTGCCCGTTCCAACGTGCACACACTGTAAGAAAAATCAGTCATTAAGTTATATCAGAAGATGCTCTTCTGAACAGTGTATTCCTGAACTTAAACATTACACTTGTGGATCTTTTTTTAAAGAATGCATTCAAAGGAAAAAAATTCAGCACTTCTATTCATCACTACTTCACATCAGGGATGCAGTAACCTGAATCCAAAAAAAAGCCCAAAGATTACTAAAACTGAGGAGATGCACCTGCTGCCTTCCAATCTGACACAGAAGCATGTTACTAACATCAGACAGCCATGCTCGTTTCCCAGCTCTGCCAGCAAGAGCCTGCAGGACCTTGGATATATCCTTTACCACGTGGAATTCCTCTGGGAACCTGCTTTCTAAAGTGAAGTGAGATACAGCCCAAGGGCCTATGTCCAGGACTGCAGATCAGTCACCCATTGGTCAGAGACTTTGAAACTGCTACCTCTGAAACAATCACCCGGCAGTTACGTCACATTAAATCAGAGTGGGGCAGAAAAGAAGGGATGATGTAGGTTAAAAAGGTTTATTGCACTTTTTCAACATCAAGAAATGCAAATCCGTATCCCAAATGCAAACTTCAAGCAATCAGCTATTTCAAAGACTACTATTTTAAATGTATCAAATAAAAAAAGATTTCCTTCTCCATATAACTGCCTTAAACATGGAAGTACAAAATCCAGCTCTCAACCCACTCTCTTCCTGGAACACCAGTAGCGAGATCTCTTGAAACATATATTTCAGAATCAGAGCACAGTTCAAGTTTGAAGGGATGTCTGAAAGTCCCCAGTCCAACTTCCTGCTCCAAGCACAATCAGCTACAGGGTCAAGACCATTTTGCTCTTTGCATTTGGGTATTGAAAACCTTCCAGGATGGTGAGAAACTGCGCAGTTCTGTCTCTGTAGACAGCCTGCTCCACTGCTTGACTGCTTCACGGAGAAAAAGTTTTCACATATCCCATTTTTCCTCTCGTTTCAACTTATGCCCACTGCCTCTCATTCTGCCACAATGCCCCACTGTGACAAGCCTGGTTTTGTCTTCCTGACAACCTTCTCATGGGTTTAGCAGAGGTCCTTCTCACAGCTCCTCCCACAGGTCCAGTCGAAGCCATGCCTTTTGCAGGATGAACAAGTCCCAGACCCTCAGCCTCTCCTCACAGGGCACCTGTTCCAGTCCAGTTCATCTCCGCTGAACACACTCCAGTTCAGTGAAACACACTCCTGAAAAGTGCAAACTAATTGCTCCCTCTGATCTACGGGCTGCTCCTGCCTGTGCCATCCTGCCCTGCTGCTGGACACTCCAACAGCCTCTCCCAGAGCTGCTCCCCGGACACTCAGCTCCCACCCTGGGCTGATGCAAGCGATTGTCACTGCCCGCCTGCATTACAAGGAAGGAAAAACCTCTAACTGAAAAGATCTTCCTCTCCTGTTTCCAGAAGGAAAAGCTTAGGCTTCAAACTGGGAGGACAGGGGAAATGACAGAAGGGGAAAATGACACAGGGGAAGAGCTCTGGGACCGGGGCCTCCACCGAATCAGGGGAAGGAAGGAGGGTGTAAACGCTCGCCTGAGCCCCCTGGGGCGGGCACGGGCATGGGCACCAGCAGCAAACCCTGGGGATGCGCCCGCCGGGTTCGTCCCGCCGGGATCTGTGAGGGGACGACCGCGCCCCCGCCTCGCTCGGGCGAGATCACAACTCCCGCCCCACACCGCGGCCCCGCCGCGACTACAAACCCCAGCGTGCACCGCGGCCCCGGCCTCCGGGCCCCCGACCCTCTCAGCGCTCGCCCGAGCACCAGCGCACGGAGCCGCCGCGGCGCCCGCGCTTCCCGCGCCTCCCTCCGCTCCCCGTCCCGCCGCCTCACCCGCTCCGCCGCGCCGGGCGCTCGCCCGAGACGGGTGGACCAGGGCAGGATGAGCCGCCGGGCCGCGGAGCGCGCTGCAGAGGCGGCCATCTTGGCGGGGGCGGGCGGGGCTGTGCGGGACGGGGCGCGCAGGCGCGGGGCAGTTCCTCCCTCCCCCGGCGGGGGGCGCAGCGAGAGCTCCGTGTTCACCGTGCCCGGGAATTGTGAGGGGATCGGAGAATGTCCCGAGTTCGGAGGGACCCGCACGGATCATCGAGTCCAAATCCTGGCCCTACAGAGCTCAGTCCCACCCTGAGTGCCTGAGAGCGTTGTCCAATCGCTCCTTGAGCTCTGGCGGGCTTGGGGCTGGGTTTTCACAGGATCACAGAATATGCTGAGGTGGAAGGAACCCACAAGGAATATCGAGTCCAACTCCTGGCCCTGCACAGGACCATCCCCAAGAGTCACACCATGTGTCCAACAGTATTGTCCAAACACTTCTTGAGCTCTGTCAGGCTTGGTGCTGTGACCACTTCCCTGGGGAGCCTGTTCAGTGTCCAACCACCCTCTGAGTGAAGAACCTTTTTCTAATATCCAACCTAAACCTCCTGACACAACTTCAGGCCATTCCTTCAAGTCCTATCACTGGTCACCACAGAGAAGAGATCAGTGTCTGCCCCACCTCTTCCCCTCGCAAGAAAGTTGTAATTGCAGTGAGGTCTCCCCTCAGTCTCCTCCAGACTGAACGGACCAAGCGCCCTCAGCTGCTCCTCATACAGCTTCCCCTCAAGGCCCTTCACCATCTTCGTTGACCTCCTCCGGACACTCTAATAGCTTAATATCTTTCTTATACTGTGGTGCCCAACACTGCACACAATATTCAAGGTGAGGCCTCCCCAGAGCAGAGCAGAGCAGGACAATCCCCTCCCTCCCCGGCTGGCGATGCTTTGCCTGATATCCCCCAGGACACGGTTGGCCCTCCTGGCTGCCAGGGCACTGCTGACTCATATTCAACCAGGACCCCCCGGTCCCTTTCCACAGCACTTAATGGGCTCCTGCTCTCCTAACTCTGCTCCACAGAAGTGAAGTTCAGGAAAGCCTTTTCCCTCCCCAGAACCCTTTACGGCCAAAGCGCTGCCTCTCGGCCGCTCTGAGCTGCCGTGGGCAGTCACTGCCCCGTGAGGCTCCTTCAGCTGCACCGGGCCCTTTGGGCAGCGCTGGCTGAGGGCGCTGCGCTTCCTGCGGGACGGACCCGCCCTGGCTGGGGAAATCCCACGGGTGAAACTGCAGCCTGAAGTCTTGTTCTAAGAAGTGAGTGCAAAGTAGCAGAAAGACTTGTTTTGGGTAGGAAGGCTGCATCCACATCAGTAAATTCAGCACTCCGCAGAGCCCAGCTGGCAGGGAACTCCCTCAGCTCCCGACACAGGACTTTGCGAACTGCTGGGAATGGTCCCTCCCACCTGCCAGCGGCTGGGAAGGGCTTGTGGGAATGGTACTTGACAAGAGCCAAATTTGGACTGGGGAAAATTCTGGCAGAATACCATTGCAGACAACCTCATTTCGGTGACAAAGACTTCCTGAGCACGTCTGGAGTGTGTGGATGTAGATAAATAGGTACAGACATGCAGGAAGCACTGCTCTCGGTTTTGACTGAGTTCCTGTTTAAAAATTTTTACTTTTGTGGTTGGGGATTTTTTTGGTTTTGTTTTGGTTTTAGGTTTTTTTGTTTGTTTTGATTTGCCATTGTTGGTGGGGGGGGGTTTGTGTGGGTTTTTGGGGGTTTTTTTGAGTGTTGAGGGTGGTTTTGGGGTTTTGGTTTGGTTGTTTTTTTCCTAGAATTAGGAGCTTTTGGTTTGCCTAATCAAGTGTTATTTCAAAAATTAGGGAAAACTAGGGTGAAATTCTGGTTTTGTCCTGCAGTGTGTTAAGTGGCACAATAGAAAGAAACAAATACTACTTAAAGGAAGAAATCTGTACTGCATATGCTGGTGAGAGGCACTATGTACTATTTTCCTAACCCTGAACTCCTGTCTGCCTCAGACCATAGCACAGTACTTCTGACACCTTCTGCCTCAGTACAGGTGCTACAAATCTTCCCCATCTTGCTCTGCTCCAAAAGGAGAGAGGAAGCTGGGCTCTTGGCAGTCCATCAGGAGGAAGAGGTTCTTGGGCCCCAGATGTAGCATTGGCTTTTCCCCAGCTCCTTCAGCACCTGCCTTCTGTGCCCCTGGGCTTTTTAACAGATACAGGCAGTGTCTGAAGGAGCTCAGTGCTGTGTTGATGAGTGCCCTCGGTCACTCCATCTCTTGCCCGGGGCTCTGATTTCGCACTGAGTGTTGAAAATGGTGAGAACTGGGGATGCTTCTGCTCAGTGTGAGCTGTCTCCTGCAACTGCCAAAGTCCTATTACTCAGAGCTGATTCACAAGAGCTGTCAGAAGTGGTGCTCCCTTCCCTTTGGAACGTTATCAGTCACATGCAGGCTTTAGGTGACAAAACTACTGCAACTCTCAAAGGACACTGAGGGTTGTTAGTGGCTCCTGAGCTGGCTTAGATGCTGAAGTGTGAAAAGGCTCTTCATAGTGATTTACCTTCTCAGACTACGAAACATGGACCACTTTCAGCAAAAGCTACTGTATTTTAAATATATAACTTTCCTGGGATATTTTCAGAGGGTAGGAAGGAGAGCAAGGTCTCACCCTCTTGGCAGTTCAGAATGAAATTGTACTGACTGCCCTAGAACATCTGCACTGCCAGTTCACAAGCTGGGTGCTTGAACAGCAGCTTCAATCCTGCAGCCGGGCTTGCCCAGTTTCTGTCACAATTACTGTAATTGCATATGAACAGTGAAACCCAAGAGCATGATACACTGCATACATCTAAAAATAAAAGTGAAATTGTTGTTAGCACGTTAGTTAAGAGACCAACCTAAATGGCAAGAAATCAGATGCTGCCTAATTTGACAATGACCCCTTATCGTGTATGGAACTGTAAATCTCTGTGATTTAAATAATTACTTTTACTGTTATCTTGCTGTCTGTATTATATATGTAATTTATATATATATTTTATAATTTATATATATTTTTTAGTATCCACATAAACTTTGGTGAGAATAATCTCGTAGCTGTAAAGCAGGCACAGCCTTTCACCAGAGAATTTACATTCAAGTCAAATTAGTTTCCATGGAATAGAAAATCTAACCTTACATGAAACTAGCTACTTCTCTTTTTTTTTAGTTTAGTTTCTCCTATTTAGTTTATGTATATTCAAAAGATCCATCCAGTTCCAGCATTTTTTAAATTTCAGATGGAGCTCTGTCAAGTTGTAAAAGAAAAAAAGAAAAGCACCAAACTGTGCAATTGAAAATTAAAATTAAGCTTCTCTTCCATTTTACAGCTAGATCTAACTGATCTCATTATGCTGGGATTTATCTCAAAGATGTTTTACCAGACTTCACTAAGCCATTAGCCACCCTCCATTCCAGAAATTTGAATCTTTGCTAGACATAGAATTACAGCTTAAGATAAACTGATTATCCTCATAATATGTCTCCTACTTAACAAAATAGCAATGTCTCATATGTAAATGCAATCTAAAATTTAGCACGGTGGAAAGGTCATTAGAGAGATGCAACTTTAAATTAAGAAATCTTATTAACCAGCTAAAATGCAATAAAATAAAACAAACACCGGTGTTCAAACAATAGAAGCTGAATATGGAAACACCTCTAAACTTTTACAGAACAGTACTTTTAAATGGTTTTAACAATCTTTTTTTTAATGAGTTTTAGAAATGCACTATTATAACAAGGAATGCTCACAATATCCCTCTGGTTTAGGTAAACAATATTATCTGCAGCTCCCAGATGGAGAAAATAGGACCTTTTTTCATAGTTATGTGTCCAGTCTCAAGCAAGAATGGAGTAGAAGGGCCTGGATTAGCAGAGGGAAGTTCTATATTATGTCCTTGTCATCATCATGATACATAAATAGTTGCCTGCCAAGTTCAAGATTGCAAAGAGCCTTGTGAAATGGGTGGATGACATAGGTGAGAGCCTGAGGATAAAAATCTGATTCCTTCAAATCCAGTCTCCAGATTTCATCCTAAGTATGGGGAGCTTTGTATTTTACACTAAGTAGCTATTTTAGATTAGCATCCCTCCTAAACAGTTTTCTGGAGAAGGACCAAATGGCACTTTCGGTTTTTAAACAGGCTTAAAACTTGTCAGGAACTCCACACAAAACAGCAGTAATACTCAGTCTGAATCCTACAATTCCAGCTGGTTGTCTGAGGAAATAAGGTTTCCATGCTCATTACTGTTCAATATCAACCAATAGACACAGGCATCTCAAAGACTGGGACATTCCAGGAACCACCAGCTGAGGTATCAGCTCACATGTGGGAAGAGACTCTGCACTACCCCATGTGAAAAAACGTTCAGCTGGTGCCAGCACTCGTAGATCTAGCTTCTTGCTTCTAGAGCAACACTCCTACTTTATAAAACAACTCCATGTGGTAACAGTGGCAGAAATCAGAAATCTGCATATACACACCTGACATGAGAATAACCACGTGTCAGCACAGGGGCTGAACCCAACACTTTGAAACCAGCACTGCTAATCTTGATATGAGCAAAGAAAACACGATCACATTGAAAGGTGTGTGTTTTTTTCCAATTGTATGTGTAAAATATTTCTTCTGAAATAAAGAAAATGTTCATATCATGAACACACTATCATGATCAGGTCGCTATAGAAGAGGTTGGGAAGAACTATCCTCAGTTACAGGCTGATCCAACCCCAGACAAGAGTGCACAGGAACTGAGCATCAGAACAGGACTGCTTCAAAACTGCTGAAACCAGCACACAGCAAACATTAACAACTGAAATTGCCTTCAGCTAAACTACTGCTTAGTGCTGTGTTAGCTTTTTGGAGACTCATCGTGTTGACTATTTATTTACAATCTACTATCTTTTTAAAGCAATGATACAGTATTTCCCTTAATGAATATGCTGAAATCCAGCTGCCAGGAATTGGCTTGAGCTTAGCCAGGCAAGAAGATTTCAAATGAGCCTAAAAACATGGACTCAAGAAACAATAAATTTTTTTGCTGAGGAA